GGTATCTTTAGTGATGTAAAAGAAGATAAGCCTCTTTTTTTATATTTTTGTGGTTTTTTAGGAACCTTGTTCGTATACCTCTATCACAAAAACTCTTCCTTTTAAGTAACTAGAAGAATTAAGATAAAAGGTAAAGATTGATAAAGTAATACACAACTCTGCTAATGACCCCATCCTCATTTGTACTATGAAAAACACCGCATCTCTTGATTTGGCCAGTTGATCTAGGCGTGCGCACGCACGCACGCACGCACGCACGCACACACACACACACACACACGCACACCCTTCATACGGCCTGTCCTCTAAATTTCAGCTGTGAAAGAGCCCTCAAACCATGCAGTTTCATGGCACTGGAGGATATAAAGCTAGCTGGTAACAAACCATTTTTTGTATGTTATCTCCTATTGCAGCGGGCACTTTCCGTGATTCAAATGGAAATTTGTTCACATTCAGATTAGCACTGTGTAAATGTTAAAAAACAGTGGTCACAAAAACTCAGACGTCATACAGGTCAGCAAGGACCAGGTTGTAGAACCAACACCACAAACCCCTACTCCTTAATCTAAAATAATGACTTTGTTAGTCGCTGGTTTATCGTGTGTACATAATGATACAACTTGGGCCAGCCTGTAGAAGAAAATTGGACAACAAATCAATGTATTAAATTCACAGCCATGTTTTTGGCTACCTTGTCAGAAGCTTTTCTCAGTTTTGGGTCCCTATCCTGTTTTTTTTTATTTGTTTTTCCTTTCTCTTCTCTTTATATTTGTTCCAGTGTTGTTATTTAAAAATCAGGAGCAAACCAAAAAAAGAAATGAAAACATTTCATTTGAAAAATGGTGATTAGCTCTAGCTGCAACTGAAAGGAACATTTGACCTAAAAAACCCACCATTTTGGAATAATTCCTGACTTTTGAGGGCAATACAAAACTGCATGTGTTGTCAAACACGAAGGCTCCAACCTGGTAAAGCACATGATCACACTGAGCACTCATATAACATAATGGAAGTTCTGCAGGCACTTTACTGCTTTTCTAGATCAGGGTTTAATAAGTACAAAATGCATTAAAGACATCAGTTTGTGGTCCTCTCACCAAACTCTAGACTCTTGTCTATGTCATCCTAGAACTGACTTTGTGATGCTTTGCATCTTGACCCCAAAGGTGAATAGTTGGTGGCTATTTTGGTTTGGTGTAAGCCTTCATGAAATTGGATGGAGTCCATTAAAAGGGCATTATTCCTGTTATGTTCATTGCTTTTAGAAAACAAAGCCAAAACAACCTTTGAACTTCAATACGATGACAAAAATATAACTGTGAACTTGGATGTTAATACCCATTTTGAACTGTATGGTATGTTTGAACTCATGGCAGAAGTAAAACATTCAATATCTATTCTCAAGCATCTTGGACTTCCCTTCTTCATTAAGGTAATAAAGCACTGATTAGTTTTTGTATGCTTTGATTAGATGAGGCTATGGAGTTCAGTGGGCAATAATTCTAATATTAGGCTGGCATGAAGCCAGAATAATTTCAGTGGCATTAGCAAAATTACTCCAAATTTAAATTGGTATAGGTGAGTACAGATGCACATTTAACATGTTGAATTGCTTATTTAACTTAAATACCTAACAGTTCACCTCCAACCAAATCTAGTTAGTATGAGAAATTCCTGCTTACATGGTTAATGACTTCATAAAGCAGAACAAACATTCAAATTAAGCTTGGGTGGTCATTTGCTAACATGTACAGATTTTTTAGGAAACCAGAAAGTTTTGTTTTTTTGTTTTTTTTTACAGAAAACAGATTTTGCGCACACAGATTTTGATACAGAATTCTTGTGCCAGATTTAGCCAGGTGTAGCCCATTTGTGTAGCTGCCTAGTCAGGTGCAATGATTGAGGGATACACAAGGTTAATATTCAGACAATAGCTGGACATTCCCAAGCTATCCAGTGGGGTCAGCAAAGCCTGCACACATTCATCTCCTAGGAAAGGTGCTCATTGGAATGTCTCCTCTCTCATTGGTTGGGCCATGCATACACTAGTTGGCTCCTGAGTTAGCTTTTTCTGACATAAGAAAATGGTTTGCTACAGGACAGAGGTAGACTCATAGAGGAAAAAGGCGGTAGTCTAGGGATGGCCAACATGCTTGTGAGACAAGTGGCACAGGCAGCCTCTGTGTGTGATGCACAGCAAACCAAGAAGGGGACAGGCAGTACAGTGGCAGGTAGGGAAGGAAGCACAAAGCAGAACAGCCCATCAGGAAGGGTTAAGAGATCAGAGGGGCACTCAGGCAGAGTGTGGGCTAATTTATGGCAAGCCTGACAAAAAGGTGGACACCCACTGATTTAGTCCAACCCTTTGCTCAAGGTAGGAATGTCCCCATTGCAATTTAAGACCATATATAAGCTGTGTATACATTACTTACCTAGATGCACACACTGAACACATGCATTTAAAGAGCACATCTGGACTGGCCCTAGATATTAACCATCACAAGGACATTGGTCCCCAGGGAAAAAGCTATTATTCTTTGAGGAGTCAGTGATACTTCAGATTCACGTAAACATCACTGACTCAAGGAGCAGGTCTGTATGCGTGCAGCAGTAATGTCATTTTCAGTTTCATAGGATAAAGGCAAATTTAAAAATAAAAATGAACTAATACTCAATCAATATTAAAAGTGCATATTAAATGTCAGTGTTTGAAATTAAATGTTTAATGACAACATCAAAGCATTAGAAGTCCCCCTTGCTCTTCCCATTTCAGTCTTTTACTGCAATATCTTTACCCTCTAAACTCCCCAATGAGGAAAGGAAAAGGACACAGATGTTAGCTGGTTTGTGTGCAAGGAGTGAATGTAGTCCTGGGTTTTTGTGGGGTCCAGGTAGGACACAGAAGAGCCTGCCTCTGAAGTAAAATGTTTACAAATACCCACATTAGCATTATAGCCCTGTAAGCAGGAAATATTGTTTAATAAGAATGAAGTCTTCTGCTGCCTTGCTGGAACTCAATTTTAAACATCCCTTCTATTAAGCCTTTTAAATAAAAGCAGAATTTACATTATCACCCAGTGAACAAGAACTTCAGAAACATCAAAACAGCTTCTGAATTTGTGTAAGTTTGAAAGAGGTTGTAAGGAAAATGCAGCCTTTGTCACTTATTGTGAAAACCAAAGGCTCTGTGTTGTATAATAAGGAATTTGGGCTTACAAAATCACAAATTACAAAATCAGCTACAACACAGTGGCATTAAGTTAGGAAGAACCCTTGTAGCGCAGAGGCTTGTAGTGGAACTGTCTCTTACTCAGTCGTTGCGTTTCCTGCTTTCTGTGTAGATGTGATATACCTGGATGACCATAAGGTGTTTGACTGTGTACTGAATAGCATGTTGATTAAAAAAATTAGCACTGTCCTACTTTAGTAAAGCTCACATTAGGTGAATTCAGAACGTCCAAAGTGGCATATTAAAAAGGAGTTGTCAATGGGGAATTATCTCTGAATAGGTGTGATTTTAGTGAGTTTTGTGGAGACTGGTATTAAGCTTTTCAACATTTTTACCAATGACCTAGAAGTGAGTAAATCACTACTAATTAAGATGTGTGTGTGTGACATAAAGGGATGAGTAGAAAAGCAATGATTTAGAGAAAATGAGGGATCATAGCGGTAAGCAGCTTTACGAGGCAAAAGGAAGTTCTTTTCGCTCCACATATAATTAGCTTGTAGAAATCATTGCCACAAGGTGTTCTAGATGCTTTAACCAGGCCTGGACAAATTGTTCAGTGGGTATTAAACATAGTGCTGCAGCCTCCAGATGAAAACTTTTCTAGGCCTCTGACTGATGGAAGCTGTAAGGAAAAAGGGACCACGGACAGATCACTTGAGATAGGTCCTGAACATATATGCTCCTCTTCCTCAGAATCTTCTTTCTGAGGCTAGTTGCTGTTGGACCCAGTACAGCATTTCTTATATCCTTAAGGGGCATGTCCCCATGTGCAGGAATGTGTTTCCCTGGGGACAAACAGAAGCAGCATAATATGTGCCACTGCTACTTGTGCCTGGGGAACACCTGTGCATGTGCATTCTGGCATGTGGCAGGCTGGCCCCAGTGGGGTAGGGGAGGCTGGGGCCCGCAGACTTACCTGGGATTCTGGAGGCCTCTGGAGGCTGCAGCACAGCAGTCCAGCAGCAGGGAGCCTGGTTGGCAGCTGGAGTATGGCTCCAGCCGGCCAGGCTCCAGTTTCAGGTGGTGTATGCTGCCACCACATGTACCACCCCACATTTTTTAGGTGTGTTTTTTCTTTTGCCCCTGGATTTCCCAGTGTTACCCCCCTCCCCCTCCCACCATGTCTGTGCTGCAAATCAGCAGTGAGGAGAATGCCTGCATCTACGGGGCGTGTGGTGTGTGGCGCCGCATACTGCATGTGTGCGCTTGTCTGGATGTGTGCAAAAAAGGATGTAGCTGAAGCTAGATATTTTCAAATGTAAAATAAGGCACAGATGTTCAGAAGTGAGGGAGATAAAGGACCATAACAAACTACCAGCAAACATATTGAACTCTTCATCTCTTGAGGTCCTCAAATGGAAACTGGATTTCTGGAAGATAAGATTTAGCTGAAGATGATTTTTGCTTTAATCTAAGACAAGTGATGGCTCAGTATAAAATAAAACAGGATTAACGTTAATGACCTGTTCTGTGCAGATCAGCTTGTCCTTAAACTCTGTTGATCCCTTTCTCAGATGACATTCCTTGAAATCCTGACTGCAAATGAAATTGAAGGGTCTCTGACAGTGACCTGTGAGCCAAATGCAAGCCTCTCATTCACCGTCAATAAGAAAAATGAGCAGCAAAGGTGAGAGGGTGATTTTAGTTACTGTAGAGATTCAGTTAGGCTGGTGGGATCACAAAAACACCATTTATGTACCATTAAATGCCAAAGGAAATTCAGTTGGTAACCAATTCTGAAATGAAGTACATAACCCCAGTAAACAGATTGTGTACTCAGGGAAGTGTACGGAGGGCTAAAGAACAGCATCAACCCAGACCTGCAGATTATAGGGCAGGCATGACCATGTCACCTGACGGGCCACCTGCTGCCATGTCCATTCC